TATATTTTGATTTACAATTATTTTTTAACGAACTAAATTAGAATGAGACTATAATTCCTTTGACGGATCGTTAGTTGCGCATTCGAAGGCATTTTAATTTTATGAATTCTCACATGTCCTGAAACCTATATCAATTCAACAGAGTATTATCTTTAAGGTAAGAAATTTAGGAGTCTCGAGGTTTATTTCTGGGATGTTTCTCACATCCATATTTCAGCGTGTAGAATGTCCAATATGATGAAGATCAAACTATTTTGAGGCAGTGGCTTTAACAGATTTTCAACCACCAGTATAGACTGAGGTCGTATTGTCTCGAAAAACAGTGTTTGCAATCCTTTCTTCTAGCATACTTTAGATGGCATATGGGCATCCGGGCCTATGAGAACATTTAATTTAAATAACTCTCTATACCAAAATACCCTATTTTATTGTTACATTCAACAATTCTTTCTCGCATACATAATAGATAGAATTCGAATTACATGTTTCTGACATGTTGCACTTTAAAATACAAAAGTAATGACTCACCATAAATAAAGTATTTTACGCATGTGCAACATTTCTGTTTGAATAACTATGTAACGCTTGAAAAATAAAACAGAAATACAATTATCTGTCATCGTTATTTTCTTTGTTTTATTAATAAAATTATTAATAAAAAAAAATAACAAAATAAATAGAGTTTTATGACACGAGCATCTAAATACCAATTTAGCCTAGTTATTTGCGTGTATTTGTGTGAGTTCAACATAACTTGAAAGATTTAATTAACTACTGCTGCTACCAATTTATGTTGAACCGCAGGCAGGTACTGGTTCCACATGCCAGATATATTTAATTGCTGCTGCATAAAAATGTTGTACTTTTTAAAAACATTTTAAATTTCAGACATACATTGTCTACATTATATAAAAACAATTAAAATAAAACTTTTTTTAAATGTCTACTAACTAGTAGAAGAGCATATTTACTAAAACAACTTACTACTCGTACTAAGTAATTGCTGACCATGAGGGGTTTTTCTGTGGTTTGTAAAACCGACCAAAAAACATAAAACAATTTTAAATATTTGTATATATAAACAAACAAATAAACAAATTTGTATGCAAGAAACATAGTGATGTAAAAAATTAATGTTTGTTTGAGTCCATGTATGGACGAGTTTATATTACTGCACAAATTAAAAGTGTTATAAGTAGAGTTAAATGCATATGTATTTCAACAGTAATAGGATTCAATGAATTTTATAAAATTACAAACATTTCTATAAAGAATAATTCATTTAATTATTTTGTGCCATGAATAGCGTTACTATTTGTAATGTATTGTCTATTTGCCAAGTTTGATGCGTGGGATATACTTGTCATATACACATGTTGTTACAATATGTTCTTCATAAAATGCATACATTAATTTGATGAACATTAGTCTCTCAAATAGACAAAAGTGCTAAATGCAGTTTAGCTGAATTGGGAGTATCCTTCGTAAACATAGCTGATATAATTTCAATTAACTGTAGGGGAATAGTAAAATATTCTCAATCTATGCATAATTGCATTTGTTTAATTAATTTGTAAATCTGAAAAGTAGTTAGAAAATATTAATAAAAAATAATTTTTATCAATGTCATCAAATTTTAATAAAAACCAATTGTTGCACTCTTTATTAAAACATACTTACATATGTATATGAATAATGTATTTTATTATGCATGTACTTATGTACATACATCCATATCGATATGTATATATGTATTTATAACTTGTCAATGCAAACATTATAAGGGAATATACAAATGTTAATTTATATATACAAACGAAGAAAAAACTCAACTTGAGTTGCATATTAAATTAAGCGCATTTTTAAAATATCATTAATAAAACTATAATTATTTTAAAAATTAAAAGAAAGACAAATAATAATCTTAACAACAACCAAGTAGGTAAAAAATCTATATTCGCACGAAGGTGAAAAGTATAAAAATAAAATTTGGTACCTTTGACCATCAATATCTCTCTATGCGTACATGGTGACTTTTAGCCCCTTAATTGAGACCCTAAACCGAATCCCTTTACCAATTTTCACTTAGCTATGTATGTATATACAATTTTTCAGTTTGTCAATTTTTTTGCTACTTTTTAATATGAACGATTTTGAATATTTATTAATGATTACAATGGAAAAAGATCGAACAGAAATGGCTAAAACGGCTAGTTATATATTTTTTGGATTTTTTCAATGTTTCTACTTGAATGAAATGTGGACTAAGCGAGCGTTTATAAAAATCATGGGTTTAATTATAAAATCTGTATCTGTTTCAAATATATTTTTCTACTTCCTGTTTTTTTTAATCAAAGTATGTATGTTTTATCCAATTCCTAAAAAATAACATGTTGTTTTTTAAATTACAATACTGTATATACATATGGGCATTTTCATGTCAAGTGGCCCAACTCAAAAAATCGATTTTGATGAAATTTGCACCAAGGTTAGTACTATTGGTTAGTAGGCCAGAAACTAATTTTCAACTGTAACGGCCAAGAACTACCGAAATTAAAGTTGGATATTTTGGTCATACAGGGTTTTATTCAAATGAGTGTAACTTTTAACATATTGGTCCTAGCAAAAATTGTCCAAAGAGTTCAGATAGATATTTCTTCGTTGTTTCCAAGTTTTTTTTTTTCAATAGTACTAGCATTGGTGCAAATTTCATCAAAATCGAACGACATTGATTTTAAAAATTGGGTCACTTGACACGAAATTGCCCATATATAATTAAGAGCACTTTATAATTAACAAGAATTTATATACAAAATATTAATAGTATATTTCATTGTCATTAAATGAATTCATTAAACTATTTAAAATTCATTCACACAGATAAATATATTGATCAACTGTAACCCTGTAATTCTTATAACTACTTAAGGACCGACGATTTTGCCATTTTAATATCACAAGTACTGTAATGAAATCCTTCTTTAATAAAAATAAAAGATTAATTTTATAGGTTTTTGATTGCTTTTTTAATCGATTTTTAAATATGGGAAATAGTTTGTTATTTTTAAGCTGCAGGGAATAGCATACAAACGCGTATTATTAAATACAGCTTTAATATATTTATAAACGAAATTTTAAGGATTGCATTATATATATATAAAGAAAATAGTAAAAAATTCACGCTATTATTTTGTAAATCAAGAAAAAAAAAAACTAATTGTGATTTTATTTAAAATCAATCATACGCATTGTCGTACAAGTTATCAAGTAGAGAAAAGAAAAAGATGAAATTAAAATCAGTTAAATAACTGAGTTATAGGTTAAAATTTAAATCTTAAATACATATTAAATAAAAGTCTAACATTCTTGAATGTTAATCACTAACCCTTTAAAATATCATGCAATAATATAGGTACATATGTCCCATTGACAGGCCAAATATTAGGATAATAATCTGTGTTTAAAACTGGTTAATACAAATAATATTAAAGTTAGAAATTATTAAATAATAACCAAATTTAACAAATATACAATATACAATTTAGTATTCCATACTTAACCCATAATATTTATCGCCATCTGTGTTTATCCCTTATTCCCCTGGAAGTTACTACACTGATATTTTATGTGCGTTCTTAATTAAAATTAAACCTTTTGATTAATTGCCCGACTTCAATAATAAAGTGTTGACAATTAAAAGACTACAACAAAAGCAAAGAATTCTTACAATTACACTCACATACTGATGTACAAATATACTGACATTGTATCTAGATACAATATACGGGTTAATGATGATAATGCGTTCACATTTATATACGCGTATTTAAATGATGTTAAATGTACATACATATGTATGTACGAGTATGTATCTCATTTATTATATCACATGAGTATTTATGCACTTTTTTCTGTTATAGTTCCAACATTAATTGAACGGATGTGCCCTTTGGTTGAATTGTGTGATGATTATTTCTCTTTTTTTAACAAACTTATTAATTATTTTATATTATAGGACAATAATAAAAGCAACATTGTTCATTGAGTGTAAAATTATAAATTGGTTAAAAAATAAAAAAGAGATATTTTTTTAATTTATTAATTCCTCTTATACATATAGTTGTTTTAATCATTTAAGGTCTTGAAATATTTATACATCAGACATGTTTATGATTTTATATGGAGTATGCAACTATTTATGTAAGTTAATGAATGCATTTCTACATAAATTCACACATACTTGAGTACCATTTTAAATTGTAAGTATTAATGTTGCTTTTTATATTGTAATTATCTTATTTTATTATTGAATTTATTTAGATTTAAAATCATTTGATCAACAAATGATGCAAAAAAAGAAACTGCATAAATACTTGATTCATATAACATATACAGGGTGTGGCCAATAATAAATATACATATTTATTTAAGCTTTCATCAAGATATCTTTATAGATATAAGTTTAAAGATTGTGCTATTACAAACTAAGACAAATCAATTACTAAATGGTCCAGATAAGACTAAAATAAGAACAATCAAACAATTAGGGTAACATGTTTACTAGAGTTACCCCATTTTTGAAAAATTATTACATTTACACCTAATCAAAAGGAAGCTACAAATAGGAAGAATAAAATTATTAGAAATATCTTAAATTTTATGGGTGGTCTTAATAACTATTTTTTTATATTTTTATTTCATTGCTCGCTTTTTTTGCCATCGAAAGTTTCTTTTATAAACGTCCCTGCTGACATTTGATAAATGTTTACAAAATATAATAAATATTACGACAGGTGTAACATTACAACTACATGAAGTTTGTGGCAACATCTTCAATCCACAGTTTGTGCAACACTGTTGAAATCGTTTTGCTAAAAGTTGTCTTAACCAATTTCGACTCAAAGAACAACAAATTGCAAATGACAGACAGGACAGGATGGTCATAAATGCCTTTTAAAACTTAAACATGAGTTTAGTCTTAAATTTATACTAGAAGAACTTAGAACACACTTGTCAGCCAAACAAAACAACAGACCGGATAAAATACAAAAATAGTCAGAAGAACAACAACGATACAGACACATCAAAAGACAAAAGCAAAAACAACAACAATATAAGTAGAAGGAACTTAAATAGCAGACAACAACAATCATAAATAAGAACTTTTAACCAGAACTTAGAGCATAAGAAAGTGAAGATGAAGATGAAATTTATATGGTTCATTATTATGGTATTCCAAGTAAGTAAGTGATACATAGAAATTCACTCCATATATTACAATATGGATTTATAGGTTTCCGTAACAGTGGTTGCAGCAACAGCTACAGCATCTACAATCACACCAATAACAACAACATCCATACACGATAAACACTTTAAGGAATTTATTGAACAAATTGAAAATTTAGTTTTAAACACCACAAAACAAGCACTCCAAGTTACCACACATGTCTATCGAAATCTTACCAAATCCATGTCACCGCTGCTACAACAAGCCATCGCACCCATTACAACTGAATATTTACGCATGGTAGAACAAACCTTGACATGCCCCAGCAACTATTCCGAACAGAGGAAACTTTTACGTTACTTCCGTTATAACAATTTACAGATTGAACGTTTGCGCCTGCAATTACAACCACAACATCCGAAATTTGAATTTCATTTAATATCGAATGATTTCTATTATGCTGGCAAAAATTTAACCGAATTTGATAATTTATATTTGGAGTTTATGCAGCAGTTTCAACGTCTATCACAAACATTGTGGGACACCATGTCAGAGGAAGTGGTGGAGCAGCAACAAGATTTATTAGAGATTTTAGATGAAATTGCCAAAGAAAAGGAATTAAGCGAAAAGGATAAATTGTATGATGAATTTATTGAGATGTTTTTGTTTAAAACTGAAATGGACACAATTGAAAATCGTGAATTGGAGTGAGAGTGTTATTTTAGATTTATTCTATTTATAATATAAATGTAGTTTTGGTTGTGGCATGAGACAAGAAGACTGTAAATCTAAAGAAGAAAGTTTAAAGATTTTACTTAAATACATTTAAGATACATTTCTTTCATATGAATCGAAAATTATGAATCGAAAATTATGAAATAATACATTTAAATAACATTAAGCTGTAAAATTGGAAATAAAAGTGCCAAAATATTACTCAAAGTACAGTTGTTTTGTGATTTGTGTTGACAATTTTAAAACTGTTAAACATTTTGTACTTTGTTGCTTTTGTTTTAGCGATTGTAAGTTCAATGATTGTTAGTAAAACAATATTTAGTTTTTAAAAGGGACCGCAAAAAGCTTATGACCTATTTGGAAATACACGTGTACATAGAACAAGATTTCAAGCACGAACTTTCAATCAAAATATTTTTTACAATAATTGCAATCTTTTAATTGTTGAGAGAAGGATTATAAATAATTTTGTTTACTTAATTTAACCCAATTTAAGTATCCTTGCTTGTGTATTTATACTAGGGTGATCGATTATTCTACATTTTCCAAAAACCGGTTTTCGAATAGTTCGAATAGTTGACATTTAAAAAAAACCGGTTGATATTTTTCAAATTCAGAAAAAACCGGTTAACCGGTTTTTCATTATAAATAAAAAAAATATTTTAATTTGAAAAACTTAATGTTTATGTTTAAATTTGATTAATAAAACATGGCCAGAAATGATTTTTAACAGTTTAAAAGATTATAACTATAGATCTAGTCGTCTGATTTACATTATTTCATTAATATAAAAAAATTAGGAAAAAAGTGGGACACTTCTGTTAAACATAAGGTACTATGTAATCCTAGCTTATTTCAAAAGCCCTGTTTAGGACAACACTTCCATAAAATTTCACCCGTAAATTAATTATTGTAAATTGAATATAATCTTAAGATTGATAAAATTTTATCAAACAGTTATCAATTTTACAAATAAATTTTTTTAATTAATTAGGAAAATCAAAAAAGTTTAACCAAAGGAGCTTTAGAAAAATATACGCTAGTTCCTCGACTCAAATAATTTTAAAATTTAGCTGTATTATTATTTACTTAAAAATTTCATTTAAATGATCTTTGAATACAAAGCAAATAAAAGTATCCGAACCAGGTTTTTAAAAAGTGAAAAAACCGGGTTATTCGATATTCGAAAAATCAACATTAAGAAAAAACCGACACTGGTAAAGCAGAAAAAACCGGTTTTAAAACCGGTTGAAAAATCGAGTCGATCACCCTAATTTATACCCTATGCTCTTCTCTGTATCCAAAAAGAGTGCGCGCAAACTCTACAGGTCGCAATTTTCAAGATAATTTGTTAAAATTTGGCACATACGCCAAGGAAGCCTTTTGAAAATTGTTAAAATTGGTCCATTATTTCACCTAGCCCCATACAACTGAACCCCCCGAAAAGAGCTCATAACTGTGTTAAATAAAGTAGTATTTCTCTACAAAGCGGTACAACAAAGTTTTATATAAGCCTTAATTACCCTAGAAAATGAGTAGAATTTCCACAATCCACATATAAACAGCAATATCGCGACGAAATTCAGCACAAATAAATATAATGTAGAGTGCTTGTCAGTTTGGGGGTTGTGTGTTCGATTCCCAATAGAGACTCTGGTCTGCTAAACTACAACGGGCGTATGATCAGAGTCACACTCCTCTGTAAGTTAGGTGAGAATATTTTCATATTTGCCCCTAGCCACTATATAAAGTTTATTTAAGAAAATTACTTTTTTGTCAATAACCAAAGTACAATTCAACAAAATTCAAATTGCTTTATTATGAAAATAAATCATATTTAATATTCGTAACTGGTGTACGGTATCATAATGTCGGCCATATATATTTTCTTACTTGTTTGTTTTGTGAACTTGTCCATTTTTATGTTTAGTTCTCGCTTTACAGTTCAATAAACTCTTTTTTATTTATTTTTATATTTTTACCGGATTCGCTACTAGTTTATTTTGTTGTTGTTGTTGTTTACTTAGTCAATATAGCAGTAAATGGATTTATTTTGAACTGAAAAAATCAGCACTTGTTATATCTAATCAACTAACAAGCAGGGTTCTATAATTGCAACAAATAGTCGAATCACACAACCTACGACATGTTAAATACTTTTACTATATCAAACATTTTTCCAAGTAGTTTATAGACTATCCTAAAAAGACTAGTTTATGTACTAGTATATTAGCCAATAGGCTAATGCATAGACTTATCCATGGCATATTTACTATTTCATAAATTAGTCCAAATAATAGTATGAACAGTTTAGTCAATATACTAATCAACAGACTATGCATAGACTTGTAGTAGACTTGTAGACAAGTCAACAGAAGAAAAATCCGAAATTTCCCTTACAAATTGTTCCAGAATGATTTTACTGGCGAGAATGTCAATTTTAACTAACAAATGTCCTTTCAACAAACAAGCCTTTTTATCCTTGTTGTGTAATTTGTTAAAACGCAAAAAATATCGGAAAAGGCTCCAAATTAACTGATAGAGAATTAGTAGTACATTGTAAATGGTTTGTGTCTTCAATAAAATTTACTAGTTTATTTAAATTTTTATCGATGTTTTTTATAAAAAAGCAAAAACTCTCCATTTTGATAACTTTTTTATCGATAATTTCAAATTTATCAAAAAAAGTTTCCACAAAAAATCAAAAAATCTCCACATTGATAACTATTTTTTTGAGAAGAATTTAAAGAAAAAATGAATAAAAAATAAAATAAAAAATCGTTAAAAAATCAAATTTTTCCTACTTTTTTAATTACTGACCTGTAATCATAATATTTCTATAACTGTACTTTAACCTGTCTATAACTGTACTTTAACAGCTCTGTACAAAATAATTCTGTTAAATAGTTCAACTTAACAATGCAACTTTATGTTATTAAACACTACTGTTGAACAATACTGTGAATAAAAAATACAAATTCTGTTGAAATAAATTAATGTTTTACTACTCACCGTTAGATGGCTCTTCACTACCTCCATGTAATGTAACAGTATTTTTAAATTTAAAAATTTCTTATAGCACTAAAAAGGTGGGTGTGAGTGAGGGTGCCCATTCTGTTTATTAATACAATGTTGGTGCGTTTAATGGTAACGATGAGGATGATTATGACCATGGCTATGATTGTGACCATGTCTTATATTATGATTGTGCATATGATTATGATCATGATTGCTGGAGGGCGCAGGAATTGGTTCTGGTGTTACGACATATCGAGGCGGGCGACAGTGATTAGAAGAAGGTATGGGATCATCATAACGGGGACAAGGATGGTCACCCACTGGGGAAGCACTTTCATAACGTTTTGATAGCATAGTGAATTCTTGATGGGCTGAGCAAAGAGCCTGTAAACGTTGCAACAAATCTGTTTCGGGCAAATCACGTAAATGCAATGTTCTGGCCACAGAAGTGCGGAAATTTTGTAAATGCGATAATCGATGATTAGTGTCTGAGAGTTGACTTTGTAAATGAGTTAAGTCATCACGCAAGGACTAAAATAAACAATAATACATTTTCAGCATAATATAAATATGTTTTCAACTTACATTTATCAGAGTCTCATCGCGACATCTTCTATTTTGATTGGATTCACTGGACGATTTAAGTCTTTCTTTCAAGGCACTTACTTGTGACAAAAGTCTAGTTTTTTCTTCCTCTAAATCACATATTTGAGTGGTGAGGTCATCTATTTTACGAGCTCTTTCCAAAGCAGTAATTTTATATTCCACAGCTTCTGCCAATTGCGCTTTAACTTCTGCTATTTGGGAACGAGCATCAGCCAACTGTGCTGTAAGTTTATCTATAACTTTATTTGCTTTTTTAGCCCGACACATTGCTTCATCACGTTCTCCCTGCAGTAAACATTTGCCTCTAGCTCCATCTTCTATAATGGCCAGTTTTCGTTTAAGTAACTCCAAATGTAAATCTCTACGTTGCACTTGTTCTTTTAGCACTCGTACTTTTCTTTGAAGATTATACATTGTGCTGGTGTTCTCTTTTAGCGGTATATCATGACAAGATCTTTCTCTTCTTAATTTCGTGTGGGTATGATGATAATGATCACAGCAACTCTGGAAAAAAGAGAAGCATAAACATGACAAGGAAAACCACATTATTTCCTAAATTATGTACCTTATCTGCACTGCGATGCTGATGTTGATGATGGTGATGATCGTGTTGATGATGATCTTCTACAACGTTCGCCAAACGTTCTGCTCTTTCTAATAGACTCTCAGCCATAATATTGGTATCATTACCCAAAGCAGGTGGTGAAGAACATTCACTCCACTGTAAAGCTCTAGCTAAACGTTGCAAATATTCTGACAGGCCCATATGATCTTTACGTAGTGAATGTATCTCAGCATGAAATTTTTCCAAGCGCTCTTCTAGCTGACATTTTTGAGCTTCTTCATTTCTCAAGCGACATTGTGTAGTTTCCTGAGTCTCTTTAAGTTTGACATGCTCACAAGAGATTTGATTACGTAAAGTGTGAATTTGCTGCAAGAAAACCATTTTAATATAAATTCCAATAACTGATCTTAAGGTGATAATTACCTCATGCATATTCTTGTTTTCACTCAACAATTCCCGCAATTTGTCCTTTATCAATGTCTCACAGGGTTCGGCAAGATTTAAATGATTTGCCAAACAACGAAGGAATTGTAAACGATCATTTTGTACACGATCTAAATTGGCCTGTAGACGATGACATCTAGATTCAAAACCTCTTAATTCGTCCTTTAATTTTTCCGAGTTTATTTCAGATTCACTTAAACGATCCCTTTGCATTTGTAAATCCCGCTCATATTGCCTGCATCTGGCTTCCAACTCGTGCTCATGATTGCTAGTACTTTCCAATTGGGCAGTTAGACGTTGTTTTTCTATGTTCGCAAGTGATTTCAAATTTAGCAGTTCATTTTCACAACTACTCAAGGTATCACAGGTGGAATTAACTTTGGCTTTGGTACGTTGCAATTCAGTCATTAGCTCTTCAGCTCTGGTGATTACACAATCGGTGGTAAGGTGGGCATTTTCACATCCCTCCATGCCAAAACATATACTTAAGCGTCTGATAAACTCATTTAGTTGATTTCGCGCCTGTTCTTTTTGGGATTCTTCATTTGACAAATGATTTTCCAATTGTTGTATTTTAGCCAGCAACTCTTTACTCCTTTCATCTGCAGAACGTTTTTCTCTTTGAATTGTTTGAATGGTTGTATCGCATCGCGATTGTACTGATTGCTCACGATTTTCAGCCGCCTGCAGACGACTTTGTAGAGATGATATGAGAGCTGATTGTCGAGCTGCTTGAGCTCGAAGATTTTCACATTCTGTGTCTTTTGCGCAGAGATTAGTTTTGGCATCGGCTAACTAAAGTTATATTTATAATATAAAGTGTAATATATCAAAAATTTGAAACTATTTACCTCACTTGTTAGTCTTTCTTTTTTATAGGACAATGCTGCCAATTCACTGCGCAAAGTGGTAACCAGGTCAATGTTATGATGATGTTCTGTCACTGTTAAGGCGGTACTGTTGCCACAGTTACTATCCAACTGTTGATATAAAGATAATGAAATTTATGTATTATGGTAGACTCATATTTAACGGGTAAAGTAAAAACTTAAATCTAGATACATCATTCATATAAGGAAACACATGTGGTCTCTTTAATATAAAAAAGTTGTACAATAATGTTTTCAATAACAGTAAATTTCCATTTTCCAGTATAATTCCGAGGTTACGATATTTAAATCGGTGGGTTCAATCTCTGTAACTATTAATATACGCATCATATTTATTATTATATGATATTTTGTATAAGGCTAATTGTATAATTTTGCTTTAGAAATGATATCTTACTTTGCAGAGATTTCCGAGATTTTGGAAATATTATTTATATTTTTCTTATTTTAAAAATAATCAATAATCAGAAAGATCGAGTGAGCAATGTTCTTTAAATGGTGGATATATTCACAATTTCTTGATATTGAGAATTTGTTTGGAAAAATGTTTAAGATTTTAAAATTTTTAGAAAATTAAGATATCCATAAAAAGTACTTCATTTAAGAAATTTCTCTTTAAGTATTCCATCGTTTGTAATATACGAAGGATAACTTTAACATATTTCATAATTTTTTCTATTCCAGAGATAAAACTAATTTATTTTTTACCAAATTATGATGATGATGGTGTGGAGATAATCCAGTAACATGATCATGATGGTGATGATGATGTAAATGGTGATTATGATCACTATCCAAAGGCATCTTTTAAACACAATACAATACTTCACACAAAATCACGAGCCCTTAACAAATTTCTTCACACAAATTAACTTCCGGTTCAATAAATATTTTCAATTAAGTAGAAAAAGTAAGTGCAAGAAATAAACGAAACCCTTTGACGACCATCTACAAAAATCAACTAACTATTAGCTAAACAAATAATCCAACATAAACCCCAAATGGAGAAAGGAGCAGGAAATTACCATGAAACTATAAATGCATACAATAAAGCCTACCAACCGACCAATCTATTAGATACACAGTTATAAACACACACATACACATACCAATGAATAACAATAACAATAGCAGTAATAAAAATTAAGTTTTGGAATTTACAACTTCATAACAAAAAACTATAGTTATGTTTGTAAGTATCTGGATATTTAGTTTTATACAAGTATGTATGGTAAGTAGTATGGTATTTCGAAGGCATGTGTATTATATGCATATTTGTGTGTTTGACTTGTTATGTTGTAGTGGTCTAGAACTGGGTTGGGTTGGCAAAACTTTTCGACAGTTTTGATGGTAACCTAGGAAAATCACACAATACAATGTAAGTATGTAAAAAAATTGAGCTCAATGGCAACGCTTTATTTAGCATTTTGTTTATTAGTTTCCTACAATTTAGGTCATTCACTTGGCAGCATAAAACACTCGTTCGCGTAGTTCTAGTCTAAATGAAAACAAAAAGGATATACAATTTTTTTCTTTTTTTTTTTGTTCAGTAAAAGTTTTCAAGTGAAAATATTGACAGAGTAGACCTAATGTAATTATGAATATACAAAAAATATACAAAAATTACTTACTTTAGTAAGGTAAGGTAAGAAAAGGTTGTTCTTTTCAGCCATAAATAGCAGACAGAACGATGTTATGAAAATATATAAAAATAAGGAAACGGATGTTGTGGTAATTGTTTGAGTAAGCTTTTACATTCTAACAGTGTTTTTTATTAAACAAAAATATTAAAAATTTGTCTTTAACACATAACCTTGAAAAGGAAGATCCGCAGATATAAGATCCCAGATGTCTTCGGGATTCAAAACTTATATTATTAAAACAGACATGGTTTCGAGTATTTGGATAAAGTTTGTGTCGAATACATTAGCGTTTATTTTACACAATGTTATATTATTGGAAAATTTATTATATGTAATGTGATCTAGGTACCTATAATGTAAAATGAAACTGATAACTAGTCAATTATTTAAGTACTCAATACATTTCAATATAATTGTAAAGAAATTTGTTTTGTTTAGAAAAATTTCTAAAACACTGTGATGATTAAATTTATGTTGTTGTCAGTGAACATATAGTAACAACGTAAACTAAAAAACAATTTCACATTTACATATTTAAGTATACAAAACAACATAAAATATAATAATCATAATAATAATCGAAGTTATTTAAACGTTTGCTGTTGATAAGCAACAAATTGCCGATGAATTGCAAAAAATCAAAGAAAAAAATCTATACGATTCTAGACAAAGTAACCTTTTTTTTGAATACAAATAAAAATTAAACGCACACAAACAGTTTCAAAATTGGCGTATTACAAAAAAGTTTTTAATTTATCGTTATTTCATAAAAGTTTGTGCTTTTTATAATTTTTCGTATAAATGTGAATATTTATGAACACTTTATTAACAATTTATCACTTTTAGTTAACAATCACCGGAACTCACTCTTTCATTTAGATACGGAGAAGAATATGTATATATCAATCTTAAATGGTTTTAGATCATGGAATAGTATAGACACGGCAAACAGCAACTTACCAAATTGTTTGCAGAAGGAAGTACTGCTTGAGAGGGCGAAGTTGAAATGCCACAAAGAATTTCAAATATTAACCAATCTTCCTCAGAGTTACCACTATTAGAAGTCATTTTCATATTATTTTTTGGCACTATTAATTTTAAAAAATAAATTAATTATTTAAAATGGCAAATATTTTTGTAGTTAGATATTGATGTGTATTTCTAATATTATTTATTGAGTTCAATATATAATATTATTTGTTTAACGGTTTTACTGTTTAAATATGCGTTACCAATGAGGGGTGTTACTAAGGTAATACATAGTTGTTGAAATATTTATTTAAAAGTTTTGTTATTGAAAAGAATAGATTCCTGAAAGAATTGAAATGCATTCAAATATATCGCTGATTTACTAGAAGACTGCCGTAATTAAAAATTCGGATCTTTTGAACAGAATAATAAAAATACGTGTCGTTCTAAATTCTGAACCATGCACATAATTTTGCCAATATTTGGTTGCCCTTACGTAAGTCTTGTTTTAACAAATAAATAGTCTATCACAGTAATCCCTAATAAAACCAAAAACTATAATCATTAGTATCAGTTAAAATTATACTCAATATTTCTTATTTCAATAATTTGTTGTTTTTATGGTTTTGTATAAAAAAATATTTATTTTTGTATTTCTATTTTTTTATTATCATAAATATATAATATTTAATCGTGTTTCATTTCCTTGGCGACAGCGTCAACGACGTTCTTGAAGAAATCTTGGAATTTGTCCAAGTTTTCCTTGGTGCTCTTGCCGGCTTCTTCTACAGCTTTCTTAACATCATCCTGAAAATATGGAAAATGATTTTATTATTAACTAATGTAAAGCACTTTGAAGTAACACTGATATACATTTATTTATAATTTAATTATATATTTTAATTAATTTTAACAACTTTTAATGTTTGTCATTGAAGCAGTACACGACAATATTTTTAATGGTTTTTTTTTAATTGTTATAATCAATCTGTTACTTGTAATTCTATTATACTTACGGAGTTAAGGTTGCTGAATTTTTCTTTGATTTCCTTCAAGACAGTGCTTTCTTCAACAGTTTGGGTGAAGTCCTTGGTGGCCTTTTGGAAAAGAGCGCTCAATTCGTCGATGGGGTTGGATTCAGGGGCATCACGGCGCAAACGGGCCATCTCAACCAACTACAAATACATATCAAAAAAACATTACAATCTTAAATCACAGAATTATATTTAATAAATCAGTCCTTAAAGTCCATCTAGTTTTATAGAAACGTTTCTACTTATTATTTCCAGTTAGACGGCAAAGAGTTAGTTGTTTTAAATTTTCCATTACAGAGCTTTAAATTAATTCACTTTTTTTAAATAAATTTACACTTTATACTCAGGACTTTAAGGATATTACTTTCTTTGAAAAAAAAACTTACTTGCATGCAGCAGATGAAGGCTACAAGAACCAAGAACAATTTAGTAACGGCGGCCATTTTTTAAAAATTTGTTTTGTTCTGTTAATATGAACTTCACTGTTTAAGCTGATATTTTCAACTGTAATTTTTTGAAATTTTTTATTTAAAATGTCAACTTTTTTCTAAGTCGTCTGACTTTACTTTATTATTTGTTTTTGTTAAACAAATGTTTATACATATATATGGTGGTTTGAATATGTATTTCATTTTTCTAGATGCGATAACGTATTGAACTTATAGTTGACGTAAGATTAGTAAATGTAGTATTTAAAAATTTATCAAATATTCACACACACACACTAAAACACGCAGAGAAATGTATACAACTACAAATATTTGTATGGGCTGCAGCATTAAAAATCCACTGATTGCATTTCGATATTGTTAAAACTATTCAGATCGAAAGTATTTCCACGTCACGTTCTTATAAATTTGGGTTCAAAAGTTCGGTGTATGGATTTTTTTCCTAAAATGAAAAATATGAGATGAGAATTAAAACTTTATACATATGTATGTATGTATGTATGTATGTATTCCGATTTTATGTATTTGTTGTACGAGTCAAAATTTTGTCTTTATAATTGGATTTATTAATATTATTACTTATTTTTAGAAAAATATATTTGAGATTCTTCAGTCTTATCTTAAAAATTCAACTTAGAAATTGTATGGTATCATAATCACTTCCTGAGTCTATTAAATGATTCTAAATATCTTAACAAAAAATACTCTGTTTTGATATAACTATGATGTTTCCCAAACTATTTTAATTCTTTTTTCTTTTTTTTTTTGTAAAATGTTTAATTCAAATTCCAAATTCCAAGTTTTTGGGATATACCCATGGAAATCACCATAAAATAATGTTTAATTTTTATACCCACCATTAGAAGGACAGTTTGATATATTGCTTCTAGACCCACCATTAGATGTCCGTCTGTCTGTTGAGAGCATGATATAATACGAACGGGAACACCTAGCAGCTAATTTTTTTCCACAATTATTCTCCGTTGATACGGTTTGTTTGTCCATACGTTCTTCTCCCTGTAAACAGTTAACACACCAATAAATCTGCTGATTGAACAAAAATCGCAATGAAATTCAACATAAACAACTTTTATAAGATCCAAAACTTCTCTAACAAAATTAATGAGGATCATATCCTAGTCCTTTTCAGATAATGACTTTAAAGCTCATAATTTGCTTAATAATACCAGTATAGCTCTGAAATTCGACAAAATATCTCTAACAAAATTTATGAGAATCATATTCTAGTCCTTAGATAAAGACTTTAACGCTCATAATTTGGCTAAAAGTACAAGTGTAGCGCTAAAATTCAATATTACAAGTTTGATGAGAATCAATACTTTAACAGCACTAAACCATAACGTATCTACCTACTTGTATGAGGATTTGTCTATTATTGACCCCACACTCTTATGAAAAATCAGTTTACTACCAATAAATCACTAAATAATTTCAGTGCTGTAATCGCGGTACTAAAAGACGTGATTCATAAAGATCTTAAGGCATATATAGGTCCTATCACCTTGTGAAACAATTTTTGTTTTTCAATATTTTATTGAAACACCCATATCTACTACTACAACTTTTTTATATTACTTGTAATTGACAATCAATTTAAAAGTTCAAAAAGTCGCTGATTCATTTAGACAAATCACGTAAAACCCTACTGCAAATATAAATATATACATATTTCTCCGATATTTACAGATATAAAGCTAGAATGAAAAACTTTAATTTAAGAATCATTTTAAATTAAGTTAATGGTTAAAACCAGATTTAATGTAAAATTAAATAAATAAGTTAGAAGAAAACTACTATTCAAAATTTTAAATATCTAACTTAAATTTTGGTTGTAGGGTATGCAAAAAATACACATACATACATAATATGTACAAATATAATAATGTAAATAATAAAATTTTTATGATAATGTAGTAATATTTCATATCAACTTTGTAAAGAGAAATAGCTTTTTAGAGAGTTGCCGACTTTTTACATAAACTCTTATCTAATAGGAAGATTTAAGAAAAGTCATAAATAAATATTTTCCTTAAAACAAAAAATATTCAAAGATCATAATTCCATAATAACTATTAAAAACAGTTAAAAAAATTATCTAAAAGAAAGTGAATAGTTTTTCATACGGATTGTCACTTAAAATGACCGTTTTCGGGGAGTCATCAACACACTGTCGATATTAAACTTAAAGTTTGATCTAAAGCTTTATATATTTTTTTAATTAAATAAAAAAGTTAACTTGTTCGCTTGGTCACCCTAATTTGAAAAGTCTACTTTAAAATAAACAATGTTATATAAGCCAGACATATGTTTGATAAGTTTAATATTTTAATTATATTTTTATGTAAATTAATCTGGCGGTTTCAGAATTGGCACGTTTTTTATTGATAAGAATTTGTTCAGAAAAATATTGTATTTGTGCGTTTAAAATCCTAAGCGACGCCCATTGCAGGAAGTATAATACTAAAGTACCGTTATGAAATGTACTTGAACCCACAATCAAAAGATTTATTAGTCCAATTTTAAATATTTGTGTTTTATTTTTAAATATTTTGTATCCTTTACACATACAGATAATTATTTTTAAAAGAAGATTATTATAAAAGTTTTTAAAATTTAAAACATTTTATAAAGTGAAGCCAAACCTGACACATGTACTATAAACTTCACGATAATTATCATGAATTGAAATAGTTTTCATAAATTATGATCAGAAAACATTCATGTCAAAAATGTTAGGAGAAATAAATGTTTACTTTTGAAAACTTAATTTCAGGACTTAAACCGTTAACGTTTTTTTTTGTACATTATACATTTTAAAGCTCTATGGAAACTCTTATATGATTCAAAATTCCGCGAAAATCAGTTCAAAATGTTATCAACGCTGATTTGCAGCATTAATTTTTTAAAAGGTATTAATTGAATTTGCAATTAGTTCAGTAAATGATTTCATTGAAATAAGATTTATTATTTGTTTATTTATAATATTAAATAATTCTTTAAAAAAAATGAGTCCTTTTATAAAAATTTTACTTATACTATTAAGTATTTGCTGTTTAATACAGGTGATTATAAATAAGTAAACATTTCAATTTACTTGTAAATGATGTTATAAAAATATAATTTTTAGGCAATAGAAATGGCACGTTTGAGACGTGACGAAAAGTCAGTGACAAATACTAAGAAACCAAGTGATGGTGATGTTAAAGCTTTGGGTGAAATTTTAATTAAAAAATTGGAAGATTCTCTTAAAGATTGTGATCAAACTATTAAGGTATTTTATAAATGAAACATTCATAAATTATTTAGTGTCAACTTGTAAAATGTTGTTGAAAATTATTTAATTTATTCATAGAACATTTTATCGTGCGCCAAAACATCCTTACAACAAACTCAACCTGTGGCAGTAGCTGGTTAATTGGTAATGTCTTTGTAATGGAAAATGGAAATGTATTACTATAGTGCGCGGAGACTGTAATGAAATTAGTTAGCAAGTGGCACCTCAATAAATATATTTTTATAATTTCAAATTTAAGAGTTTTATTTTCTTTAAATAATAAGAAACAACCATAAAGTTCTGTGTGTTAGTTTAGAAAAAAATAAAATTATTTATAAATAATTAGAAAAGTAAATAAACTATTTAATTTGTTTGACTATTAATTTAAGAGATAAGCAAATAATATAAAAATATTGAAAGTAATTTATATACAGTTTAGTATAGATAACCACATTCGGCTATGCCGAACCTTAAATACCCTTCACCTATATGCTACCCAGCAGTTCGGGGATACAGTTCCGAACTAGGTAATTAACCTACAACTTAGCGTTATCCCTAGCCCACGACTACCCTCGTGACTACGTAGACTACAGAGCGACAGTCAGAAAGCTAGTTCAAAGCATGAACCTTTCACTTGTTTATATACAAGTCAAATTTAATCTCAATATTAAGTAATGAGTTAATAACGATAAGTCTGTAGTGGAACTTGTAAGAGAGTTATGACCAATATAGACAGATCAGAAACGTTTTTATTTCAAATTTGTTTTTTCTTAAATCTTTTTAATTTTATCTAAATTCTATGGCGGTATTATAGAAAAATAGGAAAAAAGTAGAAAAGAGAGAATATAGAGGAAGAGTAAGGAAAGTAAAGTCATCAAAAAGAGCAGGCAGGATTGCACTGCAAGGTTAAGATACGTTAATGAAGGATTCTGTCCTGTTAAGTGGGAATTCAAGATGCACACCCAATCTGATAAATTAATGATCGAAGTAGATCGCCAAAGTAGGCCAATGACAATGAGATATTTTCTCCTCTTCCTACTCATTCTGACAACTCCTACAGAAGTCATTGAAAGGAAGACCAATACGTTTAGCGTGGTTTCCAAACCTACAATGACCAGTAACAACCGATACCAGCTTACCTAGTTGTAGTCTATGAAGACCAAGAATAATGGGGCCACAGCGCTCCATCGCTACCATCGGTCACGAGCAGTAGAGTAGCAGTACTCGTTAATCTGCCTTTTATAGTGATGTTCGAATGTCTCGCCATCTCGTTGAGAGACGTCCGACATTCATGGACTATTCCAGATGTGGAAAACACATCAAGTAGGTATTTAATAGCAGCTCCTATAGCATCGGTATAAATTCTGATATCCCTATTAGATATTCGATAGTATCTTAGCCAATTCGACGCCCTCTTTATCTTTGATAATTCAGCTTGAAAGATACTACAGCCATCATTTAGTCGGAAAGAGATTTTAATACCAATAAAGATGCCACCATCAACTCCCTGTGTCGTCTTGGATCCGTCTGTATACACACGGAAGCAATTCTTTGGCAGAAGGAGGGTTTCTTGAGACGGCGAATGAATAATACCATCATTCAAAATATTTTCCAATAAGAAAAGTTACTTAAACAAAAAATCTGGCATCATTTCCGTAAATATTTAAATATATCCCAAAGATAGGCAATACTTTTGGAAATCTTATCAAACTGTTAGTATAGTAAAATGAACAGTGGTACCGATTGATAATTAAATAAAAAAAATAGTAAAATATAAAAAAATTGTAATTTTTTGGTTCGCAAAAGAAAAGTTTGAAATGTATTTTATAAATTACAATTTGAATTTCAAACTTTCGCGGAAGCTTTGGCTTTTAAACCACTTTTCTTTTTACGACTTTTCTCCTCTTTCAGCTTATTTAAGCGTATTTCTTCCTCCTATAAATGAAAAAAACTTAAAGTATACTCCTCTTTTTATTTCCACATAAACTTTACCAATCTTAAACGTTCCAATTCCTGTTGCTGGCGTTCATATTCTTCTTTTTCCAGACGCTTTCTGATTTGTTCGTGAAACTCTTCAATTTGTTCGCTTAGTATCCTTTGCTGTTCTATTAATTTTGCAATTTGCAAACGAACATAACTTATTTCATTATCAATTTTATCAAGTTCAGAATCAAAACGGTTTTGCAAAGCATCAAGATCATGTTTATGTTGCTGGGGAGAGAATGATAATTTTTTTTTAATTTTAATATTAGTTTTTAATATTTTGCTATTTATACCTCAGCAAGAGTATAATATACATCACTTATATTATCGGCAGACATTTTCTCTATCAACATTTTGAATTTATACTGATCAATTTTATGTTGTATTGCATTATCCTTTAATGTTTTCTGCACTTCAGCCTGTTCCGTTAGGTATTGATACCAATTTATTTGATAACGCATTTTAATTGGTCCCCAGGCTTAAATAAGAATAAGTTTTTTATTAAAATAATATTATTATATACAAAATAAATCAAATACTTTGAGCATTTAGCATGGTTGCTTCTAAATCCCATAAAATAAGTTGCTGTTTAGTCTGACGCCTATTAAATAGACGTGCCTTATAACGGAAATCATAGTCTTGCAACTCTTCCGTTAATTTTTTATTTTCTTCTTGTAGTATTACAAAAATATTAAAGTTGTTTTCTGCCTCTCTAAAATGTTTCATAATATGAAAGAAATTTTACATATTATGTAAAACCTACCTTAATGTCTTGCATATTGAGATCTCTGAATCTCCTTTAAATAATAGATTTAGCAGATTAAGCATTTCTCTCAAATCTGTTTTAATTTTAAATTTTTCCAAACAATCTCTATTAGTATGTTTCTTGAACACATCAATCCATACACAATTTTCCAGAGCTCTTCTTTCCAAGAAATCTTTTTTACTCCAACTAAATATGTTCTTGGAAAGTTTATCCATATCGTTGTAGTCACATTTATCAACCGATATTAACAGCTGTAACTGATCATTCAGACTTTTCTCCAAATGTTCTATAGCAATTGCTTTGACATACTCATAGCTGGGTCGGTGCTTGCATAATTCGAGAGCTACTTCTGGTTTAAGCTTTTTTAAACGAGAGGATTTCTGGTTTTCAGTTTTATTATGATCTTTATTATATAATGTTTCAATTGATTGCATTTTATAAAGATTCGTGGATTGTTTAACAAGAATTTCAAATTAAAAAATATTTACAAATATATTAAATATAAAAAAACACATACAAATTACCAAATATCTAGAGATGAGAAAGTTTACGAAAGTTTAGAACGATATTTCCAACTAACTGATCCGATCGACATATAATGAACATAGCTAAGGATTATTTGACATTTAAAGTTTATGTTTTAATAGTTGTAATCAAATGTTGGATTCAGAAAAGTTAAATTAATTTAAAGACCATGATAAAAATCTCTACAAAAGGTATACTTGAACTCCTCTAGAAAATTAACTCTTCTCTAATATCGAAATATTAATGTCAAACAAAATAAAAATAGAAGAAAGAGTAGAAAGAATATATTTTTAAAAAATTATTTTTAAATATTATAAATCGAATAGAGACAACAACTAAATAAAGAACCGTATTCAAAAGGCCCATGCTCAAAAATCGGCCAGTTCAAGAAGAACATCCCGTTTTAGGACCTACTAGCAAACTTCCTTTATATAAACCACTTGATAATGTAGAAAAAGAACATAAAATCGTAGCAGGAGTCTATGAGCGACCATCATTAAAAGCACTCTATGATACTCACTTGGTCGGAGATATTCTAACTCAATCTAAACGTTATAAAAATTTAAAACCTCAAGTTGCATTACAAATACTCGGAGAACGACGCAGTTATGAGTATTTCAAGAAATTTGCAATTTCACATTTAGAGTCGAATGTGAAAAAACAATTTCGTATATTTTCTAAAATGATTGTGTGTAATGAAAATGCAGTCAAACCAAGTGATGAATTGGCACATAGCATCTTCAGTTGGAATTGGAATGACTTTCTTACACGTCGTAGACTTAAAAATTTTGTATGGGTAGATGTTTTGTTAAGAACAGAAGAGAAATGTTTGCATATCTACAAATTTCAAAAGGATTTGGAACAGTTGCAGTTATTTATAGAGAAAATATTCGATGGTTTGTTCTCGAATATGGGAAAAGAGGATATTGATATTTATCAACATATAGAGAAGCCAATTGAGTAAGTTTTTGATAGAAGTTCCATTTTATTTAAAGTTTAGCTTTTAAAAATAATCGCATTTAAGTGAAGCCAAAAAGGTGCTACATACCACGGATTATGTGGAAGATGAACTTTATGAAAATACCAAATATTTGAAACAGCTTATACACAAGGAATATTTTCTTTCCAATCCCAAACGTGATTCAGAAGAAAAATTTATTAAAACTCATTTGGAAAATAGAATTATAAACAGCCACAGTATGTTTCGCCCTTAAGCCCTTAAAATCTCCAAGTTAAATTTGATTTTTCTTTTAGTTTGGGATCCCATTGAAGTGCGTTTTCAATTAAACTGGTTTCGTAATATTGTCGAACAAAACCAATATCGAATGGATAGTAATTTGGAAAAATATCAAAGTGATATTGTCCGTTATAAGCAATTGCTGGAGATGGAAACATTCATAGATGGCAATTGTTTGGATTATTGTTACTCCTCCATAGAGGTGTATAAAAATCGTATAAATGAATTACAAGATAAATTTGATAAAGAATATGATGCCATGGAGAATAAATTGACATATAAACGTCTACAAATTGATAAGTTGCGGGAACAGCGTAAATTTTTGTCCCAAGAAATAGAACGATTTCATGAGGAGGAAGAAGCAATGCGTTTGCGAATCGAACGTGAGGAGAGGGAAAAGGAACTAAAAAGATTGGTGAGTAGGATTTCCGCTTAGTTTCCGTATCTAAAATTATCCATTTTCTTAGAGAGAAGCTGAAGAATTAGCAGCCAAACAAATGAATAAGAAAAAGGGACAGAAAGGAAAGAAAGCTCCCAAAAATACAAAAACTAGTAAATAGCTAATGTTAAATATTTGTTTAAAATCGAGGAATATAATCTCAAGTAAATGGATTCTCTAGATGAATATCCAACAATGATTTATTCAAAGAATAAATACTTTTTTATAAATAATTAATTTTATTCATTTAATTCCTGTAACTAGTTGGGACTCTGTTCCAAAAGGACTCGATTCAAACGAGTTTCTAATAACAGCGAAACTGTTGCAACTACTAGTAAAGCAAGTGAATTTTGGAGAGAACTCCAACATTTGTACTATTTAAGAGTTGAGATTCATTTTACTCAAGTAATAAGTCTACTTAACCACAAATAACAAATTTAATAAAAATATAATTTCTGGTCTTCAACTTCTTTAGAATGAATCGTTATTTAATAAGAAGTGGAATAAATATTATTTACCATTCCCTTACATCGTTCATGAAATATTTTCTCTTTTCAATAAACTTAAATTTCTTTTACTTGCCACTTATAATCATCTTCTCAACACTCCACTTACTTGACTCTGTTTATTCAACTTTACTTAACTTTTCATAATTAATGATTGTTTTAGAACTACACTTGTGTTTTTGATTACACAAGCACCTTACTTACTTACACTTTATGGCTTAACATTTGTTGCAAGCACCACAAACAGAAGCTGTTAACAGCGAAACAACAAAACACCACCAAAAGGCAACATTTGGATAAAAATGATGACATCATCATGTAGCACAGATTTTCAATAAAACATTTTTGAATGGGCAAACAGAAAATCAAGCACAACGTCAGAGACCAACATTTGCAACATTCGAAATAAAAGAGAAATAATGAAAAAAAATAAAAAGATACACGAACACAGGCACATACAAAATATGAACAAAAAAAGCAAAAGACAGACAGACATCATGCAACAAACAAAAGCCCTTTTTTAATGGCACGAACAAGTATAGAATTCTATGAAAGTGAATACAATATAATGGTTCTACCATATAAAAACGACAACAGCAACAATAAACAGCAACACCATCATCGTCAGCGTCATGGTCTTTGTCAATTCATACTTTGTGTAGAATAATCATCAGTTGCTGTGACTGTTGTTGTTTTTAACACTTGGCCAAAGCGTATGTGCCACACTGCTATTGTTCTGTAAACTTGAAGAACAATCTATTGTTCGAGAGAAATAATAAAAACTAAAAAAAAAAAAAACAGTTGAATTTCACAGAATTGTTGTATAAATAAGAGCTTCTGCAGCATACAAGTTGCAAGTTCTACTTTTTCAGCTAACAAAACTTTAGCATGAATTAGGAACCGATTGCTATTAATTTTTATAGGGTCATGTTGATGGTGTTGCATTTAACAAATAAATATGCCTTGAGGCATCAATAGGGCTGAAGGTTTCAGCGATTAGAAAATTCAACAGGAATACAGCAAATGCAAGTAAGTAGATATTAAGAAAAATGAGTATCCCTTTCTGCTGCAGAAACAAAGATACCCAGCCATCAACAAAAACTCTGTTGCAAATATGGGCCCTTTTTATTTGTCTGAGGCATGAACGTGCGAACATTTCTTCACAATACATTGTTTTCAGCCCAACAGTGCCACTTGAGTAGTAGTAGTAGTAGTAGTAAAGCAAAGCAGCAAGGCAGACACAAAATTGTTTTACCAAGAAGCATAAAGAAGAACGACATGTTGAACACAATCAACCGCAACATATTGTTATCTGCCATTGAAATTGTAGCATCAACATGTTGAACAGAAGAAAACGAAAGAAGACAGACTCATCATACTCCACGTTTACTGCACAGCACTTGCTGTATTTAGAACTTGCATCACAAAAGGTTGAATGCTTCATTTTTAGCCCTTTTAGAATACTATTATAAGTTGGTTTTAAATAGATTGACACGTTTTTCATGCAACAAAGATGTTTTTTTTTTTTTAATTTTCGTACTACGTGAAGTACAAAATTGGAAAATAATATGGAAAACGTGTGTAAACAAAGGATCAATAAAATGTTGTAAATATTTAATGTAAAAATCTATTTATTTATACATATATAGTTTTTATTGATGTTTAAAATATACATATATACACTCAACCATCCGAACGAAGCTGAAAGAATTCATTGTCATAGTGGCATCTGTACAATGAGGGTTTGGTAGTTGCCAATTGTATTGAGTTGCAATATTATTCTTGCTATCAATTATGCTACGGAAACATCGAAATGATAAATATATATGTGTAGGTTTTGTTCTCTTGATCCTACTACTTTACTTCAAGTTTAAATTATCCGATTGATTTCTTTTTTTTTAGATGAAAACGTGGTGAGCTAACATATATTTTGGACATTACAAGAACCGAAACTCCAAAAGGCATCAGCTTATTTAGGATCTTAATAGAAACTCAATTAAACTAATACAGTTTTCATTTTTGGATTCACGACCCCTGAAGGAACTTATATTATCTGACGGATCCTAGTAAATATTTAAATTTTTATTAGTTTTAACATAAGGTACAAAAATTAAATGTTTACATTCGAAGGATTTTATGATGATCAAATGATATTATAGTAACATGTGGGAATAACTGTGGGAATTTCGAATTATATTGTCGTTATTGTGACGCGAGTAGTCCATATAAAATCCACAATTCGATAGATTCTTAAATGATTAACAAATTAGTTTGAATTAGAAAGGACAATTTTTATTATTCGGGTACTAATCACATTTGTTAATGAGAATTTTAGAGAAATTACACACATATCTTCCTAATTGCTATAGATATTTCAAATTTAAATAATTTTAAAATTAAATTTAAATTTTAAAAACTGCTTTATAATATCCCTATTATACTTTTATTCCGTTGTAACAAATATATATTTTAATATCCTAATTGTGTCCTCAAATTAAAACAATTCTATTAAAATTGCTCCCTATTTCTTACGACCGCTAAAAAAGAAATTCCCATAAAATGTAACAATGAAATGAAAAATATTTAAGAAAGGATGTAAAATAAAAGGATGTTATAAAAGAAAAAACAGAATATCAAATTTATGTAAACATCAGGTATAAAATTTGAAAACAACATCATCATATTGCAACGGTATAAAAATACTGACATAAAATATTTAACAACCCCTGCTGTATTTATGAAACAAGGACATCCTTTCGTATGAT